TATGTGTAATATGAATTGTAATGCATTCTGTTGTCATATATAACAAATCAAAATTTTAAAAAATAAATTTAATAAATAAATATCATTAAAAAAAGAGAGAACTTAGAATAAGCAAATTAACATTTGGAAAAAAAATAGCTTCTTTAGCAGTTTAATGACAATGAAACACTGTTTTTTGTTTATCATGCCCAAGATCAGTTAAACATCCTATACCTATAAGGATCAAAGGAAAATGAACATTCATATCTTAATAGAGTACATGGTCTTTGGTAATTTGGCCTTGAAAAGTTTAATTTCAGTAAGTCTACACTAGAAATTTCTTTCCAAAAGCACCATACACACAGATTTATGTGTATTTATTAAAATATTATAAAAACTAACTCAAAACCAAAAAAAACAGGACAATGTCTAGTAAACTATTAGGGATCTATATTACAGTACTATGACAACACTGAAAAACCTTGTTTTTCCAATATTTAACAACATAATTTGTGGGTAAAAAATGTATACATAACAATATACAGTAATTTTAGGTTTTGATATATAAAATGTACACATATAAACTCACAAAATTGAGTTTTTCTTTTTACGTTTATCTAATTATCTACAGCAGGGGTCAGCAAAATTTTCTGTAAAGAAATGTTAAGTTCTATAGGGCATAGGTCTTTTGTCACAGCTATACAACTCTCACTGACACTGGGCCAAAACAACATAGAAAATAAGCAAAAATTGGGAGTGGTTAAATTCCAAGAAAATTTTATTTAATAAGTGCATCAGGCTGGGGTTGTGACTCAGTGGTAGAATACTTGCCTAGCACATGTGAGGTCCTGGGTTCAAGCCTCAGCACCACATATAAATAAAAATGAGAAAATCTAAAAAAAAAAAAATAGGTGCAGAGTCAGATTTAGCCAACAGGTAATATGGCAGTTAACTGACCTGTATCCAGCATGGAAGTGTACTAATTTTACGTAATTATTCTTTGTAAGGCTTCTACAAGCTTAGGGAAAACTAAAAATTTTAAATTATCTTCTCAGGTGTTACTCCTTTCAAATGCATGAAAACCTCCTTCAGGGCAGAATTTTATTCTTCTTCATATACCCCACCCACTTTATGAACTGATTTTTCAAAAATAAAAGATTATTTTCTACTTACGTTCTGAGGAACCTATTTTACACCCAGAATCAAGTCCTTGTAGCCCAAACTGACTTTATATAAGGATCCATAATAAATTTTCTTGAGGATTTTCTAGAGCAATTAAATGGGAAACCCTCACCTGGCTATTCCTTATATAAACTTCCCACCAAACTGTTAACCTTTAGTAGTGAATTTTAATCACCAAAGTTTCCTCACATAGATGACTAAATTCTTCTAGATTAGCAAGGGCAGTCCCAGTGCTTCCCCAGGACCCAGGGTACATGAGAGCATAGCATGTGTCTTTATGGGTTTGAAACTGATACCAGAATGTTCCTTTACTACTCTTTATAAAAATATATACTAGCAAAAGGGATCTTGTGAAAACAGAAGGGACATCAGTAGAATAGAAGTGGGGGATAAAGGGAAAGGAAGGAAAGGAGGGGGAGGAAAGGGAATGAAGGTAACTATTGAATGAAGTTTATCAAATTATGCCATGTGCATGAGTAAATATATTACAATGCATTCCAACTCTATATGTAACACACCAATCAAAAAGTAGAAGACCAAGAAAGTAAAAGAAGAAGAGGGGAGGGAGGAGCAAGAGGAAGTACTTGGGATTGAAATGGAGAAAATTAATGTGTTTATGAATGTCAAAATGAATCCATTATATATAACAATAATCCTCTACACAAAAACAGATAGTAGGTAGCCATTTAATTATTTAAAGTTTGTGCACCTCTGGTCAAGAGGACTAGTAAAGAAATTTATGCTCTGACCAAGGAGATACATGGAGTGCAGTCATTTAATATAACTTTGCACACTATTTCATCATGGGAAAGGAAACATAGAAATAATTAAATTTTAAAAAACAGATACATACAGTATTTGCATACATTGTATACAAGAAAAAAATTCTACAAAATGCACACACAGGTAATAGTTGGGAAAGTAAATAAACACCAAAATGTTTGCATTGGTGGCCTTAGGGTGTTGAGAATAACTACAATTTGGAGGTGAGTACTTCTTTTTTCTTCAATCAACATACATTTGCAAAAATGCAAAGCAGAAGACCTATTAAGGTTCATGGGGGAAAGTGGTCTAAAACAATGTCTCACACATGTTGTCTCTTTTTAGCCAGTTTGCAGGACCTGGGTCATATTTCATGACTGCAGCACCCATGACAAGCACTGTGTTCCTCTATGGCTATGCTTTTAAACATATTGATCCAACGTAGACTTCAGATATACTTCTTCAGGTATCCCCAGCTGATTCTGTCATCTGTAGTTTCCTTCCGTTGTGTGAATGGCTTCATAGCAAGAGGGAGACTTGTGCTTTTCTAATTTCCCTCTTCCATAATATACACCCAAGGAAAATGCTGCTGCCTTAACACTATCCCTGATTGCACGGCATTGTCTCACTTGTGCTTGAGGTTGACGCTGGAAAACAAAATATTCTGCATGGAATCCTGATTCCTGGAAACACATCTAAAACTACAAACACTTGAAAAGAAATTTTGACACATGTACTGTTACAGAATTGCTTTTGATGTTTTTTTTTTCCCGTGAGTGTCCAATGACTTCATCATAAAAATTAACTTTAGTACTTCAAAAGATAGATTTAAAAAAATGTATATAACAGATAGGACCTAAACCAGTGCTTCCTGGTCTTGAATTTGCATACAAATCACATAGGAATTATGTTAAAACATAGGTTCCAATTTACTATCCCAAAATGGGGCCTGAGACTGTGCGTGGTTAAAAGCTCCCAAGTAAGCACATCCAGGCTGCAGGTCTTCCAACCACATTTTTATTACCAAATGACTGCAATCGTCTTCAAAGCTTTAAATAGACATGTGTAGATAATTCCAATCTAATAATATTTTACATGGATTTAATTATTGACTTTTTTCCTCCCCAGTATTAGGCATTGAATCCTGGGGTGCTCCACAACTAAGTTCCACCTCCAGGCCTTTTTTATTTGGGTACAAGTTCTCACCAAATTGTCCAGGCTGGCCTTGAACTTGTGAAACTTGTGATCCTCCTGCCTCAGCCTCCCAAATCCAAAGGAATATAGGTATGTGCCACCTATGCTTGGCCATATATACCCTAAACAAATACTCTTTAAGAAAACCATCCAAAGTATTTTGAATGCTGCTTAGCCACCGATATTGCATACCCACAACATAGAAACTCCTTCCTCCTGCTTCCATCTACTTCTGCTCGCCCCATCCCTCTGACTCAAATTCTACTACTCCTTTGTAAGTCTGCATGAGATGGATTGACATGTTTTCTACTCTCTTGGGGTTTTGTTTCTCTGCACTTGATTTCCACTTACATATACATCATACTTGCCTTATCTAGATTACTGGTCCCTTGAAGGCACTGTGATGGATTCTGAGCACGTGCTTCCAAATAAACTGGGTTCATGGCTCAGTTCTGCTACTTATATTTAATTGACAAAGTATACTACCATTCCTAAGACTGTTTTGTCTGGGAAAATAGTAATCACACCATACCTACTATACATTATGCTGAGAATTATAGGAAATACTTAAGTCATCTTGCAAATGGGCACCATATTAAGTCCTACTAAATGAAGCTAATATGACAATGATATACAGCATTTAATGTGATTTTTTTTCCTAGAAGATCACTTTGAATGGCCACTAGGATTTTCAAGATTTTCTCATCTAAAATTCCCACAAATTAGGATGTTGAAAATTTTATCAGGAAGACCTGGTATCATCTCTTCTCTATGAGAGCTCCCAAAACATATCTAGTAATTGAAATAGCCAAGCTGAAACTGTATTGTCTTAATAATCATATTATAACTTATGTATTCTAAATTTATATTCTGTGATAACTTTATGAGAATTTAGTATGAATTGGTATTGGAACATTTTAAATGATTAAAATTCTCCAAATGATTCCCCAAACTTCACATATTAATTTTTTCTTTAAAATGTTTATAGACTTTTTAAAGGTGATTGAAGAAGAGAACTGAGTGAAAAACTGGCAAAAATAGTAACACAGATTCAAGGTACTTCAAATTCCATGTGAAATATAAAACACCCTTATCTAGATACACCAGAGTGAATTTAACACACTAAAGGATAGCCATTTCTGTATGGAGAAATGGCTATCCTTTAGGATGAAAAAGTGAGTTGTAAACCTGAATAATAATCAGCCAACTAGACGATTTTAACAAGTTATCCATTTTTGACAATAATAATGGAAGTAGGAGGAAACTTAGAAATAACTAGACTTTATTTATTCTCTATCATAAACTGTGGTTTTTAAGATTTAAAATCCCCTCATTAGAGATGACAATAATAGCAACAGAGAAGTCCTAGTTTATGACTCTATAATCCCAAAATATGCGATGAATAAAAATACAACCTGGGTGATTCAATTAATATTTTTAAATTAGCTTTAAAGACAATCCAGAAATGTGAAAACGCAACTAGGAAATACTGGAGATAATAAACTTTACCAGTAATCAAGAAAAGGAAAGATATGCATCTGTAATCCTAGAGGCTTGGGGCAGCACGGATACAGGCTTGATAGTTCAAAGCCAGCCCTGAAGCAACTTAGCCAGACCCTGTCTCAAAATAAATAAAAAATAAATAGAAAGGGCTGGAGATGTGGCTCAGTGGTTAAGAAGCCCCCTGAGACCAATCTCAGTACCAAAAAAGGAAAAGATGAAGCATTTTTTCTTATCTCCTAAATCTAAATTAGCAATCACTAAAAATTCACTCAAACAACTGGAGGGTGGGAGTAAAAAAAGTGATCCACATGTCTTTTTGGTGTTAGTAAAAATTAAATAAATAGTAACTGAGGATAAAGTTAATCTTTATAAGCCAATAGTGTGATTTATAAAATTTATTCCAAGACAGGTTCCAAATCAAACGTTACATTATGATGTATTCAATTAACATTCTGAAGAATGACATATGACTATGAATGCTACACATAGAAATACAGAAAATGTCTGAAATGTTAATATGTACACAATTTGCTCATCAATTTTGTTTCTAAGAAAACAAGACCCTCAAACTATTTACAGGTTATATTTAAATCTTGAGAAGCTGGAAACAATCTCATTGTTCATCATGGGAATTATGAAACTCTGAATAGTGTTCACCACTGAAAGAAAATGTGGATCTGTATCTAATAAAAGAAACCCATAATGTATTGAAGAAAAGTACAAAACAGTAAGCAAGGTATACTCCCATACTACTTTTTCATCTACATGAAAGAAACCGAAAGTACTTAAAATATACACACACAGGACCATGAAGTCTTTATAAAAATATTTTCCATATTTTCAGGTTCTTTGCATGAGTACGTATTTACACCATCAGAAAATAAATGTTCTCTGTTTGCAATAAAATTGTGTGGGCAAGATGTAATGGCACATGCCTATAATCCCAGCAATTTGGGAGACTCAAGCAAGAAGATTACAAATTCAAGGTCAGCCTCAGGAATTTAGCAAGGCCCTGTTTCAAAATTAAAAATAGAGAAGGGTCTAGGGATGTGGTATAGTGATTAAGCATCCCTGGATTCAGTCCCTGGTTCCAAACCAAACCAGAAAGAAAGTACAATTGTTTTGTGGGAATATAGGAGTATTAAACATTAATACTGCACAAGCAAAATTTCTTGTGGACAAGAAGAAAATGTGATGGATGAAAACAAAGCTGGATCATTTATGGTAAGATGGTTGTGAACTTTTGATTTCCAATGATATTTTTGCAACATCTAGGGTTTTAAAATTTATACTTTTACTTATTAAAACTGCTCAAACTAGAAGCTTCAAAGTAGGAACATAATACAGATAGGGTAAATTTTAAAGTTAGAATCCTACTTTTGCCATTAAATATATAGCTGTGCAATCCTGGCTAAATGAATACGTAAGTATCAGTTTTCTTGAGATGAATATTGCTTTAAAGGGTTTTAGTGTCCATTGAAGATCAAATTATATGAGGTACATAGGATAACTAATATATGGTGGTCATACTAGTAGCTCAAACTGTACAAAGTTATACTGTTGTTTTTTATCTAAAAAAAGCTAGTTTCTTGTGCTCAAACAAACAGCTCTTATTCTGAAATGTTTCATGCCAATTCCCAAAGCTAATTACTAATTTAAATATGTATTCTAAATGGCTTATGAGAATCTTTTTTTTAGCAGTTGGAAGAGATCTCATTTTAAACTTAGGGAACTGAAACCATCTATATTCCCAAACACCAATTATGGCAGAGCTTGAACACAGAAAACTTTACTCCAGTTTAAAGTTTCAAAGAGCCCCAATCCTTAGACTTTAATAATAATAATAATAATAATAATAATAATAATAATAAATCATTATAATGCCATTTTCAGGGGGAAAAAAAGGAGAAAAAGGATTTCAATCTTAATAGACATTTTAGTTCCTCAAGGGACTGGTTCATGTGGAGGTGGAAATACTCTAAGGAAACTAAATGTTCTTCTTGGTACTGGTTTTGGTTAATTGAAAAACAATTTAAAACAACAAAAAAGTACAAAATAATTGGGATAGATTTGTAATAAATAATAGTGGCAGGTGAAGACCTAGGGCAATTTAGTATTTACCTTTTCAATTTCTATAGATAAGACAGACAGGGAAAACCCCATTACAATGCTGTCATAAAACCAAACTACTCCAACATGTATCTCCAGAAAGGTGGTCATTGCTTAGAGAAAAAAGAAAAAAAAAAGATTAACTTGCAATTAACAAATCAACAGACATATCCAGCTTCTTAAAAATGCAAATGTTTTATAATTTAAAAAGCAGACAAAAGAGCAGCTATCAGAACAAAAAAAGTTATGATGGAAGAGAGGTATGAGCTGCTCTACAGAAATATATAATGTAAATGGCAAAAGAAAAGATTATTTTTCTAATATTCCAGCTGCCCTGCCACATGACAAAAAGGATATCCCAAATGGTACAAATTCAGAAGTCTTTATTAAAAAAAAAAAAACTTCCAACAGTATTTGACAACAAAAGCTCAACCAAATTTATCTGCCACTCCACAGTATTTTAGAAATGAACACTGAAATCAGTTCATAAATTTTCATACAATACCAAAAGCAATCTCCTGCACTGATGGGTCTTCAAAATTCTCAGCATGTTATCATTTTCCAAGCATTCCTGTTGACTAGAGGGCCTCTTATTCTTTCCTTTGAATTTCTCAATAAGATTCCTTGCTCTCTGCTTTAGTCTTCAGGTGCAAAGTTAATTTTTAATCAGATATTAGAGCAAGTATTCATCATAAAAATGTTTCCATGTAAGCAAGTCCTGTGCTTAACTAAATGTAAATACATATTAAAAATTTTCTGAACTATGAGAAATAAAAATCAGAACTTTAAGGTCATTGCTCAAATCTTTACCAAAGCAAAGGAAACTAATTTTGAAAAGATAATAAATAAAAAAACGTGGTTGTGCCAAAATAGCCTTTGCAACAGTCTGTGTTTTCTCTCCTTTAAAAATAAGGTCTATCCTAAGCTAACACAGATAAGGGAAGGTACAATAACAATATATTATTAGAAAAAAAAAAAGTCCCAAAACACACCTAGAAACTGCAAGAGTCAGATAGCAGCAATTGAAAAAACTAAGGTACAAAATAGATGTGAACTTGTACAATCTTTCAATGAACTGACTGAATGACTTCACAATACAATTTAAATGCTAGGATTTCTCAACTGTCTTAAGACAGTCCCAATTGAGGGTTTTATTTTTTTTCCTTATATAGAATAATTTCTTAAATGGAAGCACAAGATCACACTTAAATGGCTGATAAATCAATGGTTTTCAGGCAGGTAGAATAAAGAGTAATCTTCATATATTCATATGGATAGTTTCATTTTAACAATGTTTTTCATTAAAAAAAATCTACAAAAAAATGTTCTTTCAAAGGGACATTTAATGGAATCCTGAAGGCATTAAAACAATGAGTTAGAGATGGATCTACCAAACATGGACAGGCAACTAAGATGAAAAGAACCAAGTTCCATGAGAGGCATACAGAGAGAGAGAGAGAGAAAATACATAACATTTTGAAAGATGACACAAGAATATAAGACATTATATTCCTCCAGAGTGTAGGAATAAAGTCATAGACAGAAATAACCTGGTTGCACTGCATAATTTTTAGAAATGAACACTGTTAGAAGCATGTATTAATTTAGAATATAAAAAAAAATTTCAAAATCTTTAAAAAACCTGATTGTACCCAATGCATCCTAGGAAACACTGACTATGTAAGGTTGGTCTGTAACCCTTTGCTGTCTTTAGTTAATGATCACAGTCAAAATTAGAAGGCTCCTTGGTGTTTGCTTACTCTGTCATTCTACTCAAGAATGAAGGGAAAATGCTGAGAATTTACAATTAAATCTCACCTTTATTGGTTACTCTGTAACGTGGACAACAAATATACAAGATTTTAGAGAACCAATAAAATAATTAATTCATGGGTATTTAAATCAGCAATCAAAATGTTTTATCTAGAATTACTTTTTTTCTTTTTTTTAAAAAAGACTGAATTACAATATTCTATTGTCGAACACTGTGTGTTAGACAAGCATAGATTTCAAAAATACATTCGAATATATAATGAATTTTCACTGTTGGCATAAAATAAACAATGATAGAGGTTACTGGGTATACATTCTTAGAAAAGTATCCACTGGAAAAGATCATCACAAATTAAACTAAATCTAAAATCAGAATAAAAGATGCCACAGGAAAAGCCACTTCCCACTTATACTATCTACTCAGAATTGCCAACTCAAAGGCCTTGAAAAGCACCTGAGCTTGTAAAGAAAGTGGTAGGCTAATGTCCTGCTAGTTGGATTCAAGAGTCAACTTTTTAAAACACTATGCCAGCCAAATAAAACAGCAGATAGAATTCAGAGTGTGGGCCATGAAAGTAAAACCCTACAAAATAAAATGACTGGATTTTAATAATTTCACGGTTTACAATACTTGAAGGTCTTAACAGATTAAATACCTCAGTGCCCATTATACTTCTAGAAATGAACTAGTGCTCAAATGCTTGTTGAATGAATAATATAAAACAAATGGCTTGTTTTCAAATTCCTGATTAAATCATCAAAGGACCAATGAATTTAACAAATGAGTTATGGAAATATATATCAGTGTTATCTATGCTGGAGGTGGCCTGCAAAGCTTGGGAAATCTGTAGGGTTATTTTCTCTTCTAAACTGCATTCCATAAATCAAAGTGTTAGGTCAAATCAGTCATATTGAAAATATTTGCTATCACAAGTATCTGTAAACACCACAGACAGGGCCCTTTTTCCTTCCTAAGAAATGGTTGTTATTAATAGGTCATAACTTTCCTAGCCTTGTATTTGTATAGATGACTAGGGTAACTCCACATCATGTATGAGCACAAGAGTGAGAACCTAATAAAGTAAGTTATACTTTATGTATGTATATTTTGCTAAAACACATTCTATTGTCATCTGTAAGAAATTAACTTTTTATAGACAAGTTAAATAAAAATAAATAAAATTTTAAAAAAGGAAATGGTTGTTAAACACTCACTAGTATAACAATGGATTACATCATGGTCATATATTCACTTGTTCAAATTCAATCACATAAAAAACGACACAGTTTTAAAATATACAAAAAAATTATTGGTGAATTCAATGATAGGATAATGTAATACAAATTTTAATATGTTTTTAAAAGCAAATTTTACAACTGTACAAGGCACAAACTGCATCAGTAAAGGTGGAACACATCACAAAAAAAGAGTCACTATGATACTTCAGATGTGTCTTCAGTTTAAAATACATTCCAATATTTACCCTAAAGTTTAAATAAAAGTCTAGAGAATATAATTTCATCAAATTATGGAAGAAATTCAAGCTAAATAATCAAGTATTTTTGGTACATGATGTAGAAAGTAACTTTCTTGAAATTTCAAAAGATTATAAAAGAATCTACTCACACATAATTATGACAGCATTGTAATCCAACAAAAAGATATGTGCTCCCAAGAGCAAAAGCTATCACTAGCTTAAGTTTTCTATGCCTTGTGGATCTACTTCAGGGATTCTATGATAGTATAAAAAAGTAATTAGTAAAATGCCTGACATAAAGGGCCAAATAAAGCCATACCCCATAATACAACCACTATTAAGTACTTTAAAATAGTTAAACAATGTTTGAAGTCTTCAATTTCAACTGGAACTTCAGTTTTTCCCACCAAGCAAACAAAAATCTTAGTGCAGGAAGAAGTTATGTTTAACACTACCCCCCAACCCATGTACAAGTAAATACTGTTCAAAAAATGTACAAATTTAAAAATAGTGGGTTCTCAAAGTGTGATCCAGGGAAAGTCTCCCAAGACTCTGAAAGCTATACAAGATCAAACTGTTTTCAAAATAATGCAAAGATATTATATTCCTCTTTGACACTTACGACTTCACAAGTGCATAATGTAGTTTTCCAGTGATCAGGTTATGCAAATTTTTTAAAAAAAAAACAGAAATGCAAAAGCAGTCTGAGAACTTGTTCCTATTAAGCCAGACATTAAAAGGATATGCAAAATATAAAACAATGATCCTGTTTTTCATAGTTTTGGTTTTTAAAGGTAATTTTTTTCATCAAAAAAATGTTTTCTATGTTAACAAGTAAGAGTCTTATGGTAATGTTTGTATGAATAAGCATGTTTTTAAGATATCTCAGTATTATTCTTAACACAGTAAATTCTGAAAGATATGTTTCAGAGACAAAATCTCTTTGGGGTTTTCAAAACATTTAGATAATTATAATTATGGTTCTGAGACAAAAATGATCCAGAACTGTAGATGGCAGTGGTAAAATGCAGCTAATTTTCCCTCTCCATCTTGCCAGTTGATAGGTACTATACCAAAGAGGATATAAGTCAGGAGCAAGGGATCTCCAGGTAAAGACTAATTCTTTCAAATATATAGAAGGAACTATTCTAAGGAAGAATGCAATAACCTTAACGCCTTTTTTTTAAATATTTATTTTTTAGTTGTAGTTGGACACAACAGCTTTATTCTATTCATTTATTTTTATGTGATGCTGAGGATCAAACCCAGAGCCTTGCACGTGCTAGGCAAGCGCTCTACCTGAGCTGAGCCACAACCCCAGCCCTTAACTTCTAATTTCACAAAAGTAGGGATAAAATATTCTTTATTTCAAAAAAACAATAAAATATGCTTTTAAATTATACAGAACAAGTTTTTGCCATCCTAAAAGAAATGACAAATGTCTTTCCTGAACAAAGAACAGGAAAGAAGGCATGATTCAACTGGTGAACCAGGACATTAGAAGGTCTTTAGTGATATCACTTTCAAGGATTTTCATTTTAGTAGTCAAAGTAATTCTGATAGTCTATATAAAATTAGAAGCAAATCTGAATAGAAAAGTCAAATGAAGTTGACTTTAAAAATAATGAACAATAAAGATCATGAGAAAATCCATTTTAAAGCTGGATGTCTTCTGAATCTAACCTAATCACCTTGACTTTATAAGCTCTCATTGAAAGTCCTTAAATTCCCATTTAATTACAAATTTCAAGATTTACCCAGAAAAAAATAGTCTTTATAAAATTATTTTGATAACAACTGTTTAATTATACTTCTTAGAAGAAAACCCTGGTACTTGGGTACTGGCCTACAATTATATAGCATAACTTTTGTACATATGAAATTGATTTAGACCCAATACAATCTAAAACAGAAATTTAAAACATTTCTTAAATTTTCCCTTCATGAAAAATGGGCTGAAGGATTCCACCCAAATGTAGAACTATTTAAAGACTATACCCACACATACCTGGACCAATGCAGCAATTATTTAATTCTAAGAGAAATAGGGCTCAGAAAAGGGACAGAGATTTCCCAGTCTTCTTGCTTATCAAAACAGTTCAGATAAACTATCCTTTCAGTTAGGTGTGTACTGGACAGCAATAATCTAAAAAGTCCACAACACTATATAAAGATTTTAAAACACTAAGGTAACAACTCATGTAGTCATCATTGCAAAAGGCTTTCAACATGAATAAAGTATTTGAGGAAACTGATGTTCACCTCTTAATACCAAAGCTTTTAAAATTTTTTTAATCGTTTTAAGATAAAACTTTTCATATATATTACATATCTATGTATGTAATTTCACCTTTTCTTGGTGACACAGCATTATAACAACAGATAATTATCAGAAAATGATATATTGATGTTCTCTAGGCTGGGTTGCTTGCCCCTCACTAAATAGTCCTGAACAGTGTATGCTCTTCAGTTTCTTTATCTTCTTCCTTTCAAGCCATCACTTCTGAACTACTAATATGCTATGAGCTAGGAAATCAAATAATCAAAATTATTAAAATCTCACACAAAAACAAATGCATAAGCTCTAACATATAGATTTTATGACTTAGATAAGTTGTTCAGACACATATTTTAAAAATTACTCCAAGTTTCTTGGTTGTGTTCCATTTTGATGAGACTGCCAGATTACTCTGGATGAATGAAGCATTACTATATATAAATATTAAAACAAGTTCATTTGAATATTAACAAAAAGATATAACTAAACTTAGTATCATTGCCTTTTTAAACAAAGTATTCCAAAACTTTAAGGTAACATTGGGTTCCAGCTTTTTTCCCCCAAAATGAACATAAACACATGTCCTATCAATAATATCAATTTGTCCAGAAAAGGGGGTGGGGGACAACTGAGGTGCAATCATGTCACAGTTAATGCATGTCTGCTTTCAATACATTCAAAGACAATTAAAATTAAAAAAATCAATAGTTAAAATAGGCCTTTTGCAGTCTTGAGAAATTCAAAATCTTTTAAAAAATTTTGTAAATAACACATACATGCAAATTCTTTATATACAAATTTCACAAAATAAGGAAGTTGCAAAGAAAGTAGAAGTATTACGGTGAATCTGACAAGCTACATTTAAATGCTTTACCACTGACATATTCCTGAATATAGCAATCCTAGTAGTTTTAATAAATTTTCTACATGGCCTTTTAATAAAAAGTTAGTCACTAGAAGTCTTTAAGAATTCAAGATGTTCTCAATTCACTACTCATATTTAAGGCCACTTTGGTAAAGGCATTGCAGCAAGAACACAAAAACAATAGCATATTTTCTAATATTTATTTTTTCACCTGCAAACTGTAGCAAAACATGATCAGCTTTATTATGCAGACAGGTATCCCTCTACATTTTTAAAGAATTTAGGCATGTATAAATAGAAGAGCTCTTTAGAAAGGAAAAATTCAAGAACGAATAAAACCTTCTAATTTTGACTTTGTAACTTTCCAGTAGCAATGGTTAAAATGATTTAGGTCATTCATTCCAAGATATATGACAGCACCTTAAAAGTGGCTGATCTATTTCCCCAGTAACATTTCTCACACAACAATGTGTTAAGGTTACAAATACTGATATGCACAAATAGCTAATTACTAAGAAAAATATGTACAGTACTGCAGCATAATGAATGTGGTATCTGCAATAACTTAATATTAGCCAATTTTTAATATACATGATACCGCTACCTTTTTCTGCCAATTCACAGGTTAAAAGTTGTTACTGGAGCCCTCTGTTTTGCACATATTACCTGGTGTTTAATACACAATGCAGGCTTTTTAAAGACTTCTCTTGTGTTTAAAGCTAAGATCAGTGAAACAAGACAACAGTGCAAGAGGCGGAGAGATGTAATGTGACCACATAAAAGTTCGTTCCAGTAAAGTGTCTATATAAGGCTATAAGAAAGGATTGGTTGATGAGCTTCCTGTTGGAAATTGTCCTGATGGTGCACCAGTCTAAAGGAAAACACAAGACAAAACAGACAAAAGTGATGTGTGTGCAAAATATAAAAACATTAAATTCTACTTAATATTTATCTAGGTAATTTTATTTCTAGTAGAATTATTATTATTTTCAATAACATTTATTATAATGGTTACTGGCAACAAGCTATAATACTACTATTATTATGTATCCTAGACTGTGCTGTATCTTTCACAGCCATTATTTCAAACAATTCTTGTAAGATAATCTAAGAAGAGACTTGGTCCTTTAATAGAAGAACTTGTTTTTCAAACAAAAATCTCTTCCTTTTCATACTGATTCATTAAATCCTACAGCCTCTCCTAAAGTGTTATTTTTGACAACAATGCAGATTAAGTTTTATATTATAAAATTTATTTACTGTCAGTGCTTTGATTTACAACTAATTATTTATAAAGGTCAGATAAAGAACATGCATAATTGACTCTTGTCTCAATTTGTACATCTTGTCATATCAGAACAAAAACAGCATGTATGGATATACACATCCTGTTTTTCCTTGAGGCATCAACTTATATAGCAGTTAAAATTGAATTTCACTTACCATAAAAGGATTACTAGATACTCCAGCAGCTGCAACTTGACCAAAAGCAGTTACCACTGGCTTTGTTTGTCCAAATGCTGCAAAACCTGCACCTTTTGAAAACAGAATCCTCAATTATAAGATAATCGGATGTTAATTAAGTCTCATATAATAACTTTCAGAGAAATTCTTACCAGAGGAGCAAAACTAAAAATAATCAAAGTTAAACTGTTATGTCTAACAGTTCTTTTAGAAGCTGGAGACAAACCTCCTATGACATGTCTTAAAATAGTTCTCATAAAGCTCTTAAGATATGATTAATTTCTATGCTATGTATACATATGAATATAGCATAATGGTTCTTACTTTTATGTATAATTATAATACATCAATTAAAAATAAATTTAAAAAATAAATAAAGGGCAATCATTACAGTAGGAGGAGGAGCTCAGATGACTGGGAGAGGAGAAGTACTAGGAAATGAAATGAAGGAAATTATGTTATGTGCATGTATGATAGGTCATAAGAATCCCACTATTATGCATAATTAAAATGCATATATAAAAATATAATTTAAAAAGCAAATGTAGTGTATATATATACAAATACTATAAAAAAAATGGCTGATTCTAGCTTTACTTAACTGATAACTTGTGACTGGGAGGAGTTGTGTGGGTGGACAACACAACAATTTCTACATAAATCACAGTATTTATTTAGAAATACTTTATCATATGGCTCTTCCATAGACCATATTTTCAGACTTTTATCTAACTGGTGACTTAAAAACCCATGGATTTCATACTCCAGCAAATGTGAAAAGTAGGTAAAACAAATTATTGTATCTTCTCAAGTCTTCAATTTAGAAAATTGTTCTCTTACACACACACACACACCCCACACCCTTATACGAAAAAAGCACAAGGCAACATTTTTGTGATGACAAAACAAACTAATACTCAAAAGCCTATAGTTTCCTTTTCAAATCAAAAAACATACAAGATGAATTAAAAAGAAAAAAAAAGACACTGGTTGACTTTGAGAAGGAAGGGGTATACTCTTTAGAAAGCTGTCATTTCAAAGTCCAAGCAAATTTTCCCAAAATCTGTAATATGGGTGCAGAAACTCAAAAAAAAAAAAAATCATTGTTTTCTGAGATAAAATCACTGGAGACTTCTATTTTTGTATAGTAAAAACTCAGCACATAACACTATAGCATTCTTAGGTAAGTCTTTGTTCCAAACACCTTATATTATATTATATTATAATATATAAAGGATATCTAAAGTGGACTTACTGCTATTCAAGTGTCAGTTCTTACCATTGGGTTGTTGAGAAAAAGCTGTTTGTTGAGGGAAAGCTGCTTGGGCTGGGAAGGCGGGCTGCTGAAAACTGCCACTAAAGCTGGTGGGAAGACTATAGGGAGCAGGAGTGCCAAATCCTGCAGGCATGCTCATGGATGCAGTGCCAAAGGTTGCCGCTGACAGAAGAAAAAAAGGGATAATCAGTTACGCAAAAGGGGGGGGGGGCAGTATGCTTCTTATACTCAACATTGTACAATACATAACTTACATTGAAAAATACTAAGACATATATTAGAAGCATCTGAAATTCCAACAAAGAAGTAATAAACCAGGAAATTTTGTGCTCCTGAAACCCATGACAAGAATGAAACCAATAAAGCTGTCATTTCAAAGTCCAAGCAAATTTCTCAAATATATAAAGTCTAAAAACATGAGTTTGCTTTTTAAAGCACATTATAATGCAATTCACATGTATATGAGTATACATTTTTATTTTTAGGTTTGTTTTGCCATATACAATAATAACCAAAATTTTAATTTTATTCCCTAAGGTGTATGTCCCTGGAAAACCATTTTAAATTCTCTACAGAAGAGTTCACTAAAAATAATTGGACTTATAGGAGAAAGAGGATTGGAGGCAGACTAGTAAAATCTATTTAGATTTGTAACTAAGGAAAAAAAAAAAACAGTTGAAAACCAAAAACACTACTACAGCCAGGTAGGTAGTACATGCCTATAATCTCAGTGGCTTCAGAGGCTAAGGCAGGAGGATTATAAGTTCAAAGCCAGTCTCAGCAATTTAGCAAGACTATGTCTCAAAAAAGGGCTGGGGGATGTGGCTCGGTGGTAAATCACCCCTGGCTTCAACCCCAGTACCAAAACCAAAAACAGCAACAACAAAACACTGACACAATTAAAAGGACATGTTCAGTTCCTACTACATCAATTAAAATAAACCAAGAATTCCCATCCTTTTTGAAAGGTAAATAAAAATAACTTTAGAAGAGGACCGAGAAACATGGGGACTACTAAACAATAAAAATTAGAACAAAATGCAGAAATATTGAAAAGGGCATTCTTAGAAGAGAAAGAATGTAGGGTAAGAGGGTAACAGTACTACTGTACTCCTCCTTGGATCTGTGTCCCACTGCTATAACGTAATAGCAAAACATTAACATGTTGGGGGAGACCTGGATGTGAACTACCTACCATACCTTCCTAATCATCATCTATAAATTAATTCACACAACAAAACATATAGTAGCAGAATAGTGTTTTTTTATTGCTAGTAAATATTTAAATAGCACCTTTCCAACTATTGATCCTAAGAAGGCACTCAGTAAAACAAGATATAATATTGATTTAAATAGACTTCTAGTAAATACATAATGAAATATTGTAAGCATGCTACTATCAAAATACCATAATAACACACTGAACTTCCTGATCTTAAAAAAATTAACATGATCACTGATTAAAATCACAAAAATTACTTAATACTAAAGGTATTCCATAAAATCTATGTTTTCTTCTTAAAAAAGAAAAATAAAAAACAAGTTATAGATGTTGCCCAAAGTAATACAAGAGTTCTAGTGTTTATAACAATGCAATTTTGCTTAATAAATTAATTCTAACTACACATCAAACTTTAAAAATTTAATCGTTATTGACATATAAAAAAGGGAAAATAGGCACTGGGAAGCAAGTGAAAGAATAAGCAGCACACTGAAAGGGAAACAGGAAGGTATTACAGACATTAATGCACTGACATAACTTCGACAAATCACTGTTTAAGAAAGCACTAAAAAGCAATACTGGGATACAGTTAAGCAAAACCAAACTCCATGGAATATGTTAAAATGGTTTGGTATATCAAAAAGGTATCACTTAAAGTACTATGAATCCAAACTTAAGAAAAAGAATCAAAAAAGCTACTAACATTCTACTGTGACCATGGAGGTAAGCAATAATGCTTTTCAGCATTAAAACATAAATCACTATAAAAAGATTTTCATATAACTTTAATACAACATGATCTCAATGCCACACATCCATGCCCACTCCATTTTAAAACATGGAAAAACTTAATTCCACATGCAAGGATCCAGAACGCTAGCAGAAGCTTCAACAAGCAGGTAGACAAATTGCCACACAAATCTAGATATTAGTTGTGGCCACCTACCAAAATGAGCGTGAGGAAACACTTGAGAATGCATTGCTCCAGAAAGGCCTTATGGAAAGCCATAAAGAGACCAATGTCAATTAAGTTGTGAACAACTACTGTTCAAATAAAGTAAATTTATTTCATTAAATAATTCTCAAATTAGAATGTGCTGTTGCCAACTGGATAGCATAAAAATATATAAATTAAAACACAATCACAAAATGAGCATTTTTATTCCAACTATATTCACAATACTATAATATTTATACTACTTAAAATAAAGAAAAATTTAAGAGAATAAATATCAAATGAAGAAACATTCATGAAATTCAATTTCTAAAAAAAGCACTGACATTATTTTCAGGTGACGATACAACTATATGTATAAAAAAAGATTTGTACACATCATGAGCTGCATCCAAAAATGCTATTTAGCATCTAAACCCCAAGTCTTAAGAGAAAGCACCGGAACAATGCCAGATCATTTTATTTACAACTCAACTAGAAATACATAAAGATGACTCAAATGAACTAAGTATCATGCAGGTAAAATTATTAAACATGGTTTACTAAAAAGGTGAGTGGGGACTTTGAGCTTAAAATACAATCACCTTTAAGAGAAAGAAAAATATATCTTGTGCATCTTACATACCTGGCACATTTGAGGATAAAGAGGTTACATATAAAGATATGTAATTAACAAAAGACAAACAGGTTTTGCTGCGAACTAAAACCTTTTTTCACTGTTGTTTAACAAAAAGGAAAGGGGCTATTTCTAAAATATATTTCTATGCATTTTAAATTACAATACTTTTAAGATTAGCATAAATTTGAGGAAACTGAATCAATGTTGGTTCTTCCATTGTCTGGGAGCACAATGTTACTTAATAGGGGGCATGAAGTGACCAAGCAGAACCTATGCATTTCACAAAGCTGTTAAGAAGATTAAATGTAACAATGAGTCAAAGTGCTGTATATTAAATAGTCAACAAATGTATTTTTCTTCCTAAATTAGAAAAATACACACACACACACACATACTGTGCTCTTAATTCAACCAAAGGTTAACTGAAGGAGTGTTCTGTGTTAAGTTTGGTCACTTGACATTTATCTCCTTTTTAGACCTCTAAAGCTTTAAGAAGTCCTGGCATTTCCCATCTGTACTTAAAGCATAGAATCCTTTTCCATGAAATACTGCTACAAGATTCAGTCAACAGTCATTGTTAATTAATAGTAACACTATATTTCAGTCTGGAACAAAGATGCCAATCCCTAAGCTTTGGAGTACCAAAAATACTATACATTTTTCTTAAATAACTTTCAAGATATAATTCACGTCATACAATTTGTCCGTTGAAAATACAGAATTCAATATTAATATATATACACAGGCATTGTACAAACATCACTACAATCTAATTTTAGATTACTTTTTTATCCCCTCTAAAAGAAATTCTATATCCAAAGGCTACTACTTCCCATACTGCCCCATCATTACCACCATCTCAGCCTCCTACAACCACTAATCAACTATGATAAATCAATCTATTTTCTGTCTCTGTAGATTTTATTGTCCTGGGCATTTTATACAAATAGAAAGATAAATGTGTAGACTTTTGTAAGTAGCTATGTTTTATTTAGAATAAAAATCTCAAGGTTCATCCATGTACATAATTACTTCATTACATATTATCATCAAAAAATATTCCACTATATGGCTATTCAGCATTTGGCTTCTTCAGTTGATGATATGTAGGTTAATATATATAGGGTTGATGATATTTGTTTTCATTTTGGGGGTACTATGAACAATACAGACATAAACACTTGTGTAAACAAGTTTTTTTGTGTGAATGTTTCCTTTCCTTGTGGGTATATTCCTAATAGGGGAACTACTCTATGTTGACCTTTTTGAGCACAGATGTACCATTTCATATTCCCACAAGCAATGTATGCAGTTTGGCATTTCTCTATATCTTTCACTAATAATTATTATCAGAGCCATCATAGGTGTGAAGTAGCAACACATAGTAATTTCGATTTGCATTCCTCTACTGACTAATAGTATCTTTTCATGTGTTTACCAACTATATGCCCCCTTGGAGAAATGTCTATTCAAAATATCTTTTGTAAACTTTTAAATTGGGTTGTCATTTTATTATTGAGTTGTAAGAATTCTTCACATTTTACAAATAAGTCCATTGTGAGATATGTGACTTGAAAATATTTTCTCCAGTCTGCTATGAAGTTTAACTTTTTGTTGTGTTCATTTTTATATCTATTTCCGCTTTAAAGTACCAACCGCAAATTATAAATTTTCGAGATGTCTAAATATTAAGAGCAATTTGAGGGACATGGTGAGTATATCAGCTCCTCTATTACAAAAATGTCTTATACAACCTAATGGAACTCTCTACTTAGGTTTTCTTTCGTTTTTCTTCAATTACTCCCATTCCTTTTTTTTTTTTTTTTAATCTCATTTCCAAAGTGAGGTGGGCCTACTGAAACAAGTACATATGCTTATCAGTGTATGTTACAGAAATGCAAAATCTTACTGGAATGAAAAAAGTACTGGTTTAGAAGTGTCCTGAATGTTAATATCAAGTTTAGCCATTACTTAATATTGAACCCTAAAGGCAAACTGGTTTCTACCTAGGTAATAAAATAAGGCTGTGGTGTCTGGATACTACCTATGGAATCTTTCAGCTCTACATTTCTATAAGTTTATCTCCCTGGAAAGAAAAAAATTCTTTAAAACAGAAAATAAAGTTCATTTTTTCAAAAGGACTTCTGAAAAACAGGGCATAGTATAAGTGAGAGAAGTTGTAAGAGAATTGCCTAATAAATGACAATTATCTTAATTCTATTAATTGGATTTAAGGACTGAGGCTGGGAGAGGACTCTGCTAAATGTCACAGAATCCTAAAATTAAAAGAATACTTAAACCATGCAGGGTAATCTCCTAAAGAAGGTTCTTAAATAATATGTTAAAAGTTAAAGCTCCAAAGTCTTGAAAATCCAGGAAGTATACTGGTAAGACTTCTCAAATTTCACATGAAACTGTTCTAAAATGCCCTTTTTCAAAAGCTACCTCAATTTTGTTGATATAAAGCAGTGAAAATTCCTAGTCATAAGCACAGTCCATCAAAGTTCTATTCATATTTTAGCTTCAATAGAAACATGCAACATTTGCTTTAATGCATTCAATAATAACCTAAAAAATATAACCAATGTGATAAATCCAAAAATGACTTATAATATAAAAATACTTTACCTCAAAATAAAAATTTATGGACATAGTATATTTATCATTCTAATAAACCAGGCTCATATTAAAATTGATTTATCACCTATATATTTTATGATTTTATATCCTATGTAGAATCATAGTTTTTAAAAGACTTTCATGTTCTAAAACATAATAAGCAAAAGAGTTCTTAATTCTGAGGACAGAACTTAGAGGTACAGTCATGAAAAGAAAATACTAAAGTAAAATGCATTAAATATATTAAATATAAATATATTTAAATATATTAAATATATTAAATCACACAGTGATTATATATATAATCACAGTGATTTACATCATTTGATTTTACACCAACCCTGACAGAGAATACTGAACACATTTTTATAAATAAATACAGCAATAAGGATCAGAATATTTAGTGATTATAACCTCAGACAAGTTTTCAGTTTTCATTCCTCAGTTGCTAAATGTGGTACCTTACAAACAACTTTAACAAATATTAATACATCTCCCTATCATCCTTATCCCATCTTTTAATAAAATATAAAAAACATTCTTAGTATCACCTAGCAGAAATACTAAATCAGGATTTGAACTCAAGCTGGCTATACCCATTTAATTTTTCTAAGCCTCAGTTTGCTCAATTCTTACACCAAGATTAAGACAGTTATTTGATGAGAGCCTTAACAATTAAATGAGACAATGTTTAAAAGCCTATTGTGTCACTGAAATATTCTACAAATTCCTTCCACTAATTCAAAATAATACAGCAAGAAACAGCAAGGTCATATACCAAATAAAAAAGAAATAATACAAATAGAAATTTAAAGCAATCATTGGTTAGGTATACTTAACAACCAAAAGCACAATAGAAATTTTAAATAATCATTGTATTAGATTGACCTAAATTTAAAAGTAAACCATTTTTAAAAAATTAAATTTTATGTGGAATTCAAAGTTATTTTAAACAACTATTATGTTAAATACCAAAAATTCATAACCAAAGATATTTATGCAAGATGAAGATAAGAAGTTATCTACTACTAGCATCACAATTCTTAATCTTACCAATGACAAAGATTTAATAAAAATCACTAATTTTTTTATAAGATTTAATCTAAATGCAATGTTGTAAGTACTTACTTACTCTCTCAAGATTTTATATCAACATTTGCTAAAATTGGAATCAAAACTTTGGTTCTAGAACTACTAGGACATATACACAAAATCAAAGTTTACAAAGTCTTCATTTAATGGATACCGTCATACCACCTGTACTTTCTGACATTCCAAGGTGATGGCAAAGAGCTCTGATGTACAGCATAATAGAACAAAACTCAAAGAAAAACAATATGAGAAAGATGTAACAAATCCCATTCATCTTATGTGGTCTTATGGGGAAAAACAAAATTCTCTTAAAATGTTAATATTAAGACTGAATGACTCACAGCCAGAAATTCTAAATCCAGACCAACAAATGTTACTTAGTTCAATTCCAGACCAACAAAAATTATCGGGTTTAAGCTCCTCTTTGGTCATATATTAGCTATATGGCTCTAAAGAAATCTCATTCCCATTTGATCTTCCCTACCTGAAAAATGAAAGGTTTGGCCAGAAGGGGAACATTACATCTTTTTTAAGGTTCTTCTCAACTGTTAAATTCCAAAATTGTGTAAATTTCTCACTAGCTTTTGTCTTATGGACTAACTTTTTTTTCCAGTTTCAATTCACTTTAGTAAGAGGCCCCATTTTGCAATGTTATTCACAAGGTCTTTGTGATAAATTACTTCCCCAATGCTTATTGTTTCATACTCAAGTCTTTTTTTCCCCTTACCTGTTGCTCCTCTGGCATTTGTCTGAAATGGATTTGTAGAAGATGCCACAGAAGGACCAGCAGCAGCAACAAATGGATTTGTGGAAGGCGTAGCTTTAAAAAATTATAAAATATACTATAAAATCCTAATTTATTTTGTATTCAATATTTTAAATATTTATTCACTATATTTATAAAGATAGAAAACATAAGCTTTGTGATAATAAATCACTGCTTTGACTGCCCCTTGGTACCCTTAAGAAAATGCTACACAATACATGCTTAGGTTCTTTAAAAAAAAAAAAAAAAAAAAAAATCAATATATATCAAGAGTACATACCTCCAAATGGAGCAGGCACACTAGAAGAAGCAGGTTGTGTCTGTGCAGAAGCACCCACTGGCACTGTTCCAAAAACGTTGCTGAAAACAAAAAACAAAAGTAATGTGCCTGCAGGGCAGTCATAGAATATGGAAACAGATAACACTGAACATATCATGTATATAGCAATTCTGAAACTTTTGAGTCTCTCTCAAAATGTATTTACACTTTAAAATACATTATTATCCCAATAATCGACAAATATTTTATGTATATTACATTCATCAGTTTGTATCATAGAGAAAATAAAGTTGAGAACTTTAGAAAAAATATTCCTCAGGTTTAAAAATAATTTAAGTTATAACACAAATAATACTTTTGTAATAACAATTTTTAAAATAAAATGAATTTAATGAGAAGGTAGATTGTTTTATATTTCTGAATATCCCTTTAATGGTTGGCTTAGTAGAGGACCAATATATTTTAAAAGCTTTAGTAGATAATTGTGGAAATCATACAGAAAACAACAGTGATAGTTTCTTAAAGATTAACTGAAATATGGAATTTGAAACCATATCAATGAACTTTCTACACTCCATTAAACTAAAGTTCACTGGTCTATCCTGTACTTTAAATGAATCTTTTACTAATTTTATATCATATATTGGTCATTTGAAAAACACTTGTTTTGGCCAGTCACAGTGCTGCATGCCTATAATCCCAGGAGCTTGGGAGGCTGAGGCAGGACAATCGCAAGTTCAAAGCCAGCCTCAGCAACAGTGAAGCGCTAAGCAACTCAGTGAGACCCTGTCTTTAAATGAAATACAAAATAGGGCTAGGGGTATGGCTCAGTGGTTGAGTGCCCCTAAGTTCAACACCTAGTACCAAAACAAGAGGAAAAAAAAGAAAGAAAGAAAAATGCTTGTTTTATCAGCTTATGACAATCTTCCAAATGTTGTCATATTTCTTTATACAAAATTTAAAAATCACATCAATATGGCTAACCATAACATCCAACAATTAATGAGAAACTGTCAAGCTCATGATAGTTTATTAATTTTCCAAAGTCTTCTGATATTTGTGGAAAACATCAATTTCATCAGTGATTTTTTTTTAGTGACAAACCCATTTTTTGGAATATGTCTGACAAATAGTAATGGTTAGTCTCTGAGTCAAAGAAAAATGGTGTTCTATAAGAGGCTACTTCTTTCCACAACTCAACCAACTCTACAAGTAATTTCTTTTAAGACAACTACATGCACCAGAATCACTTCATGTATACCTTATTTAACACAGAAAAATCAATAAGACATATTAAGGATAAAGATTTAATAAAAATTTAAAATGTTACCGCTTCATCAAGAAGATTGATAAGAAAAAACTGATTAGGAATATTCACAAGTAAAACAATGTGTGGTACTGAGAAACAGAGAGACTACTGAATGACCACCATCTTAATTTATGTTAAGACACCTACAGTTTCACTTGCCATTCCTTACTCCATCAATACAAATGTCAATTGGCAAAAAAGAAAACAAACTTTCAGAATTATTGTAGAAAGCTTTTTAACCTCAGTTTCCTCTGTAATAATTTTAGGTACCCCAAATATTCTATGGACTACTCTTTGTGCACCACCAATATACAGCAATATAATATTAATAAACCGTTTGTACTGTATAACTCATCTAAGATTCCTGAGTTTATGGTCACCTAGTTATAGTTCATTATTAATATCTAATATGGACAATCTTAATACATATCCTAAATTTTTTTCCCATTTGGTGCACAAAAAAATTCATTATCAAACAGTTCAAGGAGGTAGTGTTAAAATTCTGCAATTTCTCTCTAGAAAGGCTGTGAAAGGATAATAAGAGAAAAAAGCAGGTAACAATCCACAGGCATGGGAAGTAGAGATGATTAAAATTGTACAGGCAATTCTCTGGGGGTCTGTTTCTTTGACCCTAAAATGAACAGTTTTTAAAAATCTAATATTTTAAAATGAGTTAAACCTTCTACTATAAAGAATTTCTGTATATCAAACACACATAAAATTGGTAGATCTTTGAATTTATAAATACCAATATGACAATAAAATGTAATGCAAATTGATGTTGTGTTTTGGTGTGAACAGTTCTAAAAATTAAGACTACAATACAGTACTTTCACTGTTTAGTCTCTGATTAAAAACTGTACCTTATGAGTATGTAATTTGACTGCTAAATGGATTATATGATGAGTATAATCTGTATGTAACCACCCATTTAAAGATGTGTACTCTCCAAATTACATTTTAGCACTCAAGGATGAAAAGGAACAAAACTTTTGGTTCATTGAAGGAGAAAATTATGAAAATTACTCAAGGATTATATTCTAATTAACAAATTAAACTCAACTGCCTCAGATTTAAAACTATTCAATCATTTTTATATTATACCCTCAAACAGTTATTACTGAACTACATTATTCATAGTTGAAAAAATTAAAAGATAAAACAAAACAGGAATATCAAGACAAAATACCTGCTAGCATTACTTGTGGAAGTATATGCATTACTGGAAGTGGCAGCAGAACTAAAAACACTGTCTAATTCTGCCAGGGCTGCATACTTGTCTGACGATGCACTTGAATGACTGGGAACTGAAACCACAGAACCAACAGGAGCTTTACCTGTGGTCCCAAAACCACTCCCTTGATCACCACCTGAGAATGAACAAAAGACACCAAACTTTAAAATTATACTTTTACCTTTTCAACTACATTTGCCATGAAAAACTAATAAATTTAAAACTAACATGGTACTAAAACAATTAAATAAATAAATAAAATATATGAACAGGATTCTGGGGTCTTTCAGTCTAGTACCTACTCCACACAATATTGGACCAGATTAGTTGTTACACATACCACTATAGACAGAATGCTATTTTTCTCTAGCATTATATGTCTATATTATGCATAGAAAAGAAATTCTCAAGGAAATCCAGGACAGGTGGATCTCATTCAAGTGAACATATAAATTCATAAAGTGCTAGACCTGTGGTGGACAACCTATTACTAGTTATCATTTTCCCAAGTTTTCCATGTTAAAAAAAAAAAAAAAAAGTAGGAAGCATTTATTATGTGCTGGGTACTGCTCTGAGTAACTTACATGCAGTAATACACAGAACACAATCTCATGAGTTTAATGCTATTATCATTCTCACTTTGGAGATGAGAAAAAAAAGAGAGAGAGAGACCCAGAGATCAGAATGTGGAATCCAGTCTAGCACCAGACTCCTGCTGTTCGCCATTGCACTACGTACTTTTAGATGTAAAATAATGACCTTAAGATGAAAACGTGGAATGGAAATATGTTGCTATTTATATTGATTTTTAAAATACCAAATAATAGCAGGAAATAGTTCAAAATACAGAAACCACCAAATAACCCTTTAGGCAGCTCTCTTAGTAAAATTTATTGGCTCCTTATTGCCACAGAGTAATAAAGCTTGCTTTCTAGGATAAAATAAAAATTTTCAATTATTTTCTTTTAAAAGTGTAAGTTCATAAATTCCTAAGCCTTCAATTTTGTAGTTGATAATTCAGATCCAAAACCTCAAAGTGAAAATTCCATTCAAAATAGTGTAGACATCATTATCTATATAAATGGGAAAAATATTTTAATAAATATAACCAAATTTTGAGTACTGTTTGATATACAAATTTGTGTTTATTTTGTTTAAAGCTTGATACCTAGGGGTTGGAAATACAGCTCAGGGTAGAATGCTTGCCTAGCATACCCAAGGCCATGGATTCAATCCCCAGCACCACCACAAAAAAAAAAAAAAAAAAAAAAAAAAAGCTTGGTACCTTGCCCAGCACTGAAGATATTATCTAAATTAGCAAGTGCTGCATATTTGTCTGCTGTCTGTAAACCAGCTTTGTTTGCTGAAACTTTACTAATAGCTGATGCTGTCTGATGACTCTGGGAAGCATTGAAGGTTCCAAAATCAGCACTGGAGGATTTGGGGAAGTTATCAAAATGAGCAAAATTAGCATTTACTGATCCAGCACTTCCACCTGTAACAAAATAAACAGAACACTTGAAATTTCTACACTTTTCCCAGTACTCTTTGGTAGATAATTTGATCATTTCTTCCTAAATTATCTTAAAAAGATTATACAGGACATTCTTATAATAAGATACAAGATATTATGATACCATACATTCTTGAAATCATGTATATAACCATATATAACCTTATAATCATGTACATTCTTAAAATCAGTGGCTGCTGAATCATCTTAATCATCTACATGTGCCTTTTTATAATTTATGCAACTAGAATCCAAAGGACCTGGCAATATTTAAGATAACATCAACCCTGGAGGGAAGACTATTGGGGTGGGGTGGGGGGCTGGGTTAACTGGTTAAAACTCAAGTTACCATGATCTTTGACTAGTTCTCCTTCAACAGACTATACTAACAAGATGCAAAATATCTTACTTGGAGGGTTCAAGCTTTTGAAGCTCTATGGCAACACAGTTTAAACAAATCTCAGGGATAGAAGCTAACAATATTTAAATCTATTATTTTGATCCAAGAACTTTTTAAAAAGACATTGAGCTTTACATTTAATTTCATTTTAAGAGCTATTATTTAATTTTACATAGTAATTTAATGTGCATTCAATATCATGATGCTCACAGTAAACCCATAGTTATACATAATAATTATACTGTATTTTTTGATAGTAAAATGTTTTAATCAACACAAGTTTACACACTGACACAGCTAAACTAGAATGCCTCTATTTTAGAACTTTCCTAAAGTACTGACAAAAGAATAGTCAGTATATTTCATACCATGCTTTTGATCCTATACTTTTGATATATCATTCTTCATTCCTAAAACCATACTTTCAGTAATCAAAATGGTGTATACATATGGTTATGTATTAAGGTGACAGCAAAGTACACTTAGAGATACTTTTAAAACAGATTGAAGGTGCTTCTATGTGAAAACCATGAACACTTTCATCAGTCAGTTCTTTAGACATTCTAAAACAAATAATATACTAATAAAAAATTTTCAGAAATTAAACTGTGGTTGTTATAATTGAAGCAAACAAAAGTGTGCTTTATTTAAAAGATAGTGAGCTGTTACAAGGAAATGGCAAAACAAATGCTAAACTTCTAAAATTTTTATGAAAAATTTTATTTCAAAACTACCAATTAAGTTTGATTAAATATAGCTGTGTAAAAAAAAACTGAGCTCAATAATAGAGGAGAGTAAAAGTATAAATTTATAAAGGATTAGAACTACAAAATGATTAGTAATCTATATTTGAAAACACCCATGAGATTTATAGCACAAAACATACAAATTAGTTAAAAAAAAAAAAAAAAAAAAAAGCCTACTGGACAACAGAACTTACTGTGGGTAGCCTGGAGAGGAAAAGCTGAAGTAAATTCACCAAAACTGCAGCTAGATGAAAGCATTCTAAATGCTGGACAGCCAGAAATTATATAAATGATGACAGTTAAAGAAAAAAAAAAAGAAAATTGAAAGAAAAGGCTTTAAGACAATACATACAGATTAAAAAGTTGAAAGAAAAGCAATCAGCCAAATACCTAAACAATGATTTAATGACTATAAATGGTACAGTTTATGGGAGAATATTAAATGTTTAAAGACCAATTCCTGCACAGAAAACAATTTCTATGTTTGATTAAAGTGATTATTATTAATCTATAATAACTAACATTTAGAATTTTTTCAAGCTTGTTGCTCTTGAAGTTACTTCCACTTTTAGTTCTATGGAAGTAATTAGCTTCCCTTATTCAGACATAAAATGAGGCCTAAATCAATGTGCTCCATGATCCTAAAACACTTTAATGTCCCTGTGCATGGGAAATTTAAGCAAGATTCATGTGCAGGAAAAGGAGGAGAATGAATGCAGTGAATTAGACAATATACTAAAAGAGTTCAGAAAAGCAAAAAGAACAGAAAAAATAAAAGATTGCAGATTTCCCCAGAGCTTTGTAATACAGAACTACTTTAAAGTCAGGTAATCAATAGAATTTAATTTTTAAAACTATACCTACAGAGTTTTATTGTTGTTGTTGTTTTTAAAGTAAACATTTAAGCATAATTCTGGAGAAGCTCTACCTGTAGTTTGGGGTTGGAAAGGAGAGTGACTTGCTGTGGGGAAACCTCCAAAATTACTCGAACCACTAGACTGTCCAAATGTATCAAAGTTTGCAAAATCTGCATTTGCAGAATTCTGAGCTGTAAATGGCAAGGAACAACATACGTTAATGAATATGAAAACTACAAATGAAAATTCATGACAAATGAATTTAAGAATTTTATGAAAAGTGTCAAGGCATCAAAATTCACATTAAAGAGAATTCATTTAGAAATCAGACTTATAAGAATTTAACCTACAAAAATTCAGTCCTACAAGAATTTAACCCAAATATAACTATTTATTAACGGGTATCCAGAAATTTCTAAAAATACTGTGTGAAAAGATAATCTGTACACAATACCCTTTAAATAGCCTCAGGAACAGTGCTAAAAAAGTGAATCTATTAACAAAGCAAAATGAATTCAGAACATTAAATATGAGTTACAGAAAAACAAACAAGAATGTGGGGCACATTTTGGAAATTTCACTGATTTAAAGAGATAATAATAACTTATGTGAATCTGAGGAATAATCTAAATATCTAAAATAATGATACAGATAGTTTAATTACATTAGTAAAATATTCTTTTGGGGTTCCTTTGAGGTTTTCAATTATGCGGCACCAAGGGCATAGGAATATGAAAAGAATTTTTTGAATGTATAAGGACATGACCACCAAATAAAAAGAATATATTCACACTATATTAGAAGGCTGCCATTTCAAATTCATGTGATAATTTAAAAAACAAAGTTATATAGGAATTATAACTGTACATTACATTCAATTAAAAAAAAAAAAAGAAAGAAAATCAAGATGCATTTCTCAACTTAGATGGTCCTCGACACAGGAGAAAATGTCCAGACTTTTCTAAATCTAAATATGTAAATAAATAATTCGAAAGTTTTTTTTTTTTTTTGGAAAGGCCAAAAGAGATGCTAAGTAAGAATTTTCTAAGAAGATATGATGCGAATAAGAAACGCCTGTGACATGGGAAAGGAATGCTCAGTGGCAAGAATGAAAAGCATGTCTGAAGGATGGAAAAAGGATAAACATCATTAGTACAGTAAAAGGTTTCAGGCAATTCAACTTTTAGGAAATTTCTGTAAAGAAATAACCTTGCAAGTGAGTATAGCTGTATCTAAAAGCTCCACAAGTTATGTTTTCAATAATAATAAAAAAAATCAGAAACTCAAATGACCACCAAAAAGGAATCACCTAAATATATTATGAAACATCATAAGGCAGACTACAATGCAGCCATTAAAACTCATATAAAAAATATTTAATCCTGAACAAATATGTTTATATGAAGGAAAATAAATTAATAAATTCCAGACATTTTTAACTGCCAATTTTGTTCAACTAAACATGGTATTATATTCATAATAAATATTTGTATTTTAATTAACCCTAAGCAGTTGGATTTCAGATCAATATCATTTTCTTCTTTTATGTATGCCTGAGTTGTAGAGCTTTTACATGTATTATACTGTACACAAACCAAAAAAAGTTACTAAAAAAAAACTTCTTCCACCAACAAAGCAACTTACTACACATATTTCTTCCTATTCTAGGAAGAAAATCAGAAAAGCTTAATAGTATTTTGTTTTGTATATATCTGCATGGGTATAAAAGTAGGGGGAAAAATGTACCTAACCTTATACCAGATATCTGGTACCATCTCTTCTTCCATTCTGAAATACACTTAAGTTTCTCAACTTAGTGAGACCCTGTCTCAAAACAAAAATGTTTTAAAAGGCTGAGGATATGTCAGTGGATAAGCACCCCAGGGTGCTTTGAACTCCTGGGTTCAATCCCTGGTACAAAAAAAAAAAAAAAAGAGGGCATTTCACACAGAACAAACAAAACCAGACTTCTTGATCCTCTTCATCTAATACTCCTCTGCCCATGTTTCCATGTAGTGATAGATGAGAATATTCCTTTTTTAAAAAAGATACCACAGTTCCACACAGCATTATATGACTCATTTGTGTCATCTGAGGGATCCATAACATATGACAAAACTACAGTTCAGATTTTGTGATACAATGTTTATAACCAAACAAAATACTCTGTACATGAATTATGTTTCTAACTTTCTATTTCTGTAGAAGATGACTCCTTGAACACAATAAGGACCCCACATATTCATATACACTACTCAGCCAGAATGTTCTTTTGAAGGTATAGATTTCTAGCTTTTAAGCCACTTCAATTATCTACAACAAAACAAGTTTCCTAACAAATGATGCTAACCAGATGGGCACATCTGAATAATTATCACTTGTCATTAAATACTATCAAACTCTCAGAGTAAATTCTTCTTCTTTTTAATGAGAACTTCAGAGTGAGAACTCATCCATCAATGACTTATTTGTGAACTACACATGGAAAAAATAAAACTACACAGTGCTTTCCATGGTTCTAGAAAAAGATTCATCAGTGGAATCATGACATTGATTCACATCTAAAAATTATTCCAAGGCAAAATGTCAACATGGTATCAAATATACTGAAGGGAAAATTGAGTAATTTTGTAGAACCTTCTTTAAAAAGGCATTATCCTGGTATCAAATATAAGTAGAATGACAGCAGGGTATGTGTGTGTGGGTGTGGGGGGGAGATTTGAGTAGGCATTTGTAGATAAGAAAGAACTTCAGGCTGAAAAAGGACTACTTCTTCAAGCAACACATCCCAGCTACTTGGTTACTGAACTATTTCCTCATATTCATCTATCATTTCCACCATATATGAGAAAGAAAGAATAATTAAAAATCTATCATCATCTATGGATTTTGTAAAAATAGGTTTCTTTCTTTTTAAATTTCATATTCTACAACTATTTCTATTTTTTTCAAAGAACATTTTAAGGGAGTTATTAAAGTATGAGTACAGTTACGGTACAAATTAGTCTGTAGAGATAACAAACAAATAAAAAAAGTGTAACAATAATCCCTGATCTGCAAATGCTCAAAATGCATAAAAAAGCAAACATGAAATAAACTGAAATATTTTTTGCTATGCTCATAAAATTATGAAATATATATTTTAGAAAAATAAAGTCTTAAATTTTTCTTATCTATAGTTATAGAAATCAGCTTTTGGCAGTAACTTACCCACACATTTGAAAGTAATATAAAGCAAAGTTTTGAATTAGCAAATAAAACCATTAAATGGCTAAATTAATTCCTAAATTAGTATTTAGTACATTTGAATTGATGCTTCTTTAATCATTCATAAATGGAGATGGGTATATCTTCTGTGATACACTTCAATGCTTATAGCATCCAAAATAGATTCCATGTATATTTTCAATAGAAATGTAATGTTTCTAATATAAATCCAATACAATAAATAATGAATAGATAAAATTTAGGTTTATCATTATTTGGCATAATTGACCCAAGTATTAATGAGCAGTTAATAGAATAAAAAAAGAGACTAAAAAATTATGTGCCTCTTAAATTCCAAATAGTCAGTCCCCTAGTTATTCCTCCCACAAAGAATCTAGAACTCCCTAGCAGCCCAATACACACACACACACACACACACCTGTAACTGACCAATCTCTAGATCCAACTACAACCTACAAGAAATATATAGAAAAAAAGGAGCTTGTTTAACAGCTTCACAATGGTACAATCAACAAATTTAGACCACGGCAAACTCTATAGGACAAATAAGCTCCTATCTTTTAACAATTTATATAAGAGGAAAAAATGATGGAAAAAGAACCTACAGATTAAAATAACTAAGAGACTTATTTCACAACTACAATGTCTACACCTTATTTGAAACCTTATTCAAACAAATTTTAGGTACATATTTATATGATCACATGTGTATATATATGCATGTGTGCCAGAGTATATGCGTGTGTGTGTGTGTGTGTGTGTGTATATATATATACACACACACTCATAATACACAAAAAATTAGAACTGAAATAAAAATTTGAATTAATTATTACTATTACTATTTAAACAATTCATAACCCTACTGAGGTTTAACAAACAAAAGTCCTGTTTAACAGACATAAAATACTTAATCTCTTTTGTGTTTAAAAGTACCACTGTTACATAGTTATATATATTTAAGGGTAATCAAATACCCTCAACTGAACTGATGCTTAATGAAGAATGAATGCTGAGGCACGCACAGTAGTGCACACTTGTAATGTGAGCAGCTTGGGAAGCTGAGGCAGGAGGATGGAAAGTTCAAAGCCAGCCTCAGCAAAAGAGAGGTGCTAAGCAACTCAGTGAGATCCTGTCTCTAAATGAAATATAAAATAGGGCTGGGGAAGTAGCTCAGTGATTGAGTGCCCCTGAGTTCGATTCTTGGTACCAAAAAAAATAGAATGAATGTTTCTTGGTGTTCTATACATATACCATCCAAAAGCTATTGAAAAAAGACATACCTGCATGACTGTTGAAATGTGCAAAGTTAGCAAAATTGGCTGTGGCTGTTGACTGAGGAGCTGGAGCAGCAAAAATGTCTGAGCCAAGATCACTCAAAAGATCAAACTGCTTCTTTTCTTGCTGTTGTCCTTGAGAGCGACCAACCACTGGGGACTAAAAACCACATGTCAACTATAAAGATTTTTCAGTAAGAGCTGCTGAATTTTTATACAAAACTATCTCTAATTCACGAAGTATTTATATGCAGGAAGAGTTACAGTATACTGACTTAATTCCTTTGTTCATATTTTTCACCTAGACCTTTTGTGAAAACAAAGCAATTTATCCAAAAGCCCTAGAATGCACATAAAAATGGTAGAATGTAATCTACATTACTATATTTCAGAACCGCTGTATAGGATTAAAGTTGCAATGCCACACAGAACAAGATCTGTCACAACTCCATCTAGTACAACAAAGTACTGACCTCAGAAATCAATTTACTCCTCATATTTTTAGAATAAGTTATAAGGGAAAGCCATCCGAGTTTCAATGATAAACATGCCACACAATCAGACATTTGGGAAAATCTTATTATATCCCGTTAAAGTACATCACAGAAGCTATCCTGCTCTGTCACTACAGATTCATGTTTCACTAACTGTTTATCAAGACAGATAGCTTTAGCAACTTTCCTGTACACCTTCATAAAGCTGCAGAGAAGTTAAAGCAATCAAAAACAGAACAAAACCACATTCCTATCACTTACCCAATAATCAATTAATGTATTACAAACCATAAAGACATAGATTATATTGCTGTCTTAGATTCTCAAATTAAAAAAAAAAAATTCTCAAATTCTTGGGCTGGGATATGGCTCAGTGGTAAAAGTGGTTGTCCAACACCACAAAACAACAAGATAGATACACACACACACCCTCTCAAATTCTTGATATTCAATTCTCCTTAAGTGGAAGTCCTTACAAAGACTTCTAAAAGACTACTCACCTGAGTAGGTGTGCCCTTATTTAAGTGCAGTGCTGGTGCAGAATCTCCTAAAAGAGATTTCAGTGGTTTGACCTCAGGTGTGCTGCTTGTGCTACTGGCAGAGGAACCTGAAATAGATGCATGAACTGATGCCACCACTTTGGCTTGTTCTGGTGGGACATACCTAAAACGTGAAAATTAGAATAGGCAGTTAATTTTTAAAGCATAGGAATCCTACACTAAAAGATAAGCTCAATTCTAATTTTGTACAAAACTGTTTCCACATTAATCTTATCTGAAAAATCTCACTTAGAATTGATAGCTTAAGACTACACTTAATTGGAACACCAGAGAATGTAATAGATGAACCAAAAAACTTTTTTCAATTATTTACTAATGGCTTTTATAAGAAATTATATATTTATTATTTTTATAAATACAATATACCAACTGTTTTTTTAAAACAGAAGATGAATAGTTAATACTATAATTTTCTGTTATCTTATGTTATACATGTATCAGTAGCTTATTATTTTTATTGCAATATAATTTGATTATTTAGCTCTTTTTAATTTATTTATATTGGTGCATAATTATACATAATAGTGAAATTCATTAAATCATATTTGTACAGGCATATAATTTCATAAATTTCATTCCCCTGTATCTTCCCTTTCCATCTTTTCCTCCCTCTCCCTGATCCACTTGCTCTACTCTACTGACCTTTTATTATTATTACTGTAATTAGTGCATTATCAGTGTGTGTGTGTGTGTACACACATACACCCATACACACACATATACATACATACATACACACATACATACATACATGTGTGTATGAGAATTCATTATAGTATATTTTTACACAGACATAGAATGTACTTTAATTTTTAAAAACAAAAATATATTAAGATCATAAACATTTGGAGATGTAAAAGAAGGTAAAGAAACATTTATTATATTACAGTTAACAGTCTAAAATATAAGGAATTATTATAAATCTATAATAAGATCATTTAAATTCATTTTGAAACGAACCAAACCAATTCACAAAAGGAGACACAGATATGAAAACTTATAAAGGAAGAAAAATGTACAATTAAGCTATCTCCCATCCACATGTGAACTTCATGCTGTCTACTGAAACACATTCACACATATGCTCTGTGCCCCAGAAGTACCCATTCCAGAAACTTATCCTTAGCAATCAGCTTGGTAAGTGCATATTGGTACATGAACATGCATGTTACCACAGCAATTTAAATAATTTTTTAAAAATTGGAGACAAACTGTACATCCATCACGAAAAAAACATACTTAAAGGGATTATGCTAAAATCTGTAATAATATTATGGAGCTACTCTGCTTGACATGGAAAGATGCCCATAAGATGTCATAAGTGTTTCAGGTTTGACCCCATCATGGCAGGATTCATGAGAGGAGGGCAATGAAGGGAGGAAAAACGCAATAAGGATAAAAAGCCCCAAAGTTGGCAATGGTAATCTCTAGACGTAGCATTATTGAAAGCTTCTGTTCTCTGGAATTATTATAGTTTGTATTTATATTACTCTTGCTATTACTTTTCTGTTAGAATACAAGCCTTATAATTACTTCAGGCTTTTAGTTATATAGCTTATGGTTTGAAGGAATAACTTAATAAATTTGTTATAAATACAGGACTGTCAATCTATGGTTTTAATTCTATCAATATTATTCACATTTTCTCTTACAATTCACATTCATTTTTATCTTCATGGCTAATACTACCCTATCTAAAATCCTAACCAAACTTAGTTTCTTAGTTGTTGAAAGTAATACTGATAAGTCAACTGAAAATTACAACAGGACTATGCAAGGAGAACACTCTTCTATAGACTATAAAGTATATAAAAAGTTAAGAATTAAATGGTAAAAGGACAATATCACTTTCTTTAAAAGAATTATTCATTTCACTATATTTTTATTATCACCTTTTAATATTTTTTCTTTTCTGAACTAAAATTATAGTGGTATATTTCTATCTGTATTCATAACCAATGTACCTAGCACCAGTGAATATAGTCCTGGTTAATTTTGCCTTGCAAAAAGTAGTCTGTTTTAGTAATCAGTAAGAATATAAACTTGGGGCTGGGGCTGTAGCTCAATGGCCTACTGTGAGGAACTGGGTTCGATCCTCAGCACCACATAAAAATAAACAAATAAAATAAAGGCATGTTGTCCATGTACAACTACAAAAATTTTTTAAAAAGAAATATATAAATCTGACCGAGCATACAAATCAGAGCTAATGTGCTTACTGACTGAGAGTAAAGATCACTCCCTTATAAACCACAGCAAGTGTTCTCTCAGGACCAAAACAGGTTATAAATATATCATCTGTTGGGAAAAAGTGGCAGTTTCCTTCCTCATTATCTATTCCCTCTATTCTTGACTCCTCTATCTTCTTAACCTCCAAAGAAGTAAACATGCTATTCAAAACTGCTCATAGTTAATGAGTACTATACATATATTGTGACATAAAGCTAAAAATGAGGAGCCCTAAGTGGTTGAACACTAGCTCTGTGGATATAGTCCTTGCTGTGCTATAAGGGACACATTAGCTTTACGTATAACCTATTAAAATAATGGATTTAGTTAAGGAAGTATAAATAAATGCTCCCTTCTTAACCAGGTAGCAAATTGACTGAGTCCTGGTAATTATAATTAAAAGGCTGCTAATAGGTATAGTGAAGTAAGATAAAGGAGTAAACATTTTTGAAAAACAAATCCAATTAAAAAAAAAAAAAATCAAAGGATAATGAGAACCTAATTACCTACTTAGTTTTCTTCCTGTCTGCCTTCCTTCATCATATTAGACTAACCTTAACCATAATTAATAAAATTTTGTGAGGCTTTAGTGGAAATACAAACAGTTCACTCACCATCTTTTCTTTTCATATTTTTCTTGTAAAAACTCTTTCACTTTTTGTGGATCCCTGAAGTCTGGAATTGCTGAAGATCTATCATCAAATAATCCTAGCCAGATCTGTTTACAGACCTTTGGAAACAATTAAAAAAGAAGTGTTAAATTCAATATCTTCACTTACTGACAAAGAAGAAATTATATTCCTTTCAGAAAGCCAACATACTTAATAATTTCAATAGTAATACATTCAATGAGGATATTTTTCATAACCACAAAGGACTGAATTTATTTTAGTTATGTTGCGATACACAGTAAAATTTTAGCAAATCATGAAAGATAGCACCTTATAAAAAAATGAATAGTAAACCAAGATTTGAGAGGATTAAGGGTTTGGTATTGTATCTGGTCTTGGCATGATCATAAACTATTAGCACAATCATGTAATCTATAAAATCTGTTTCCTCACCCTTAAAACAAACTCAATCAGTAGCAATTTTACAGGCCCTTTAACAAGTTTAAAAATCAACCAAAAAGAAAAATTCCAGATCATAAATAATTTGCTATTAAAGTGTAACAATAATAAACACAAATACAACTGTAGCTTTATATTTTATAATTGCCTCCTGTGCTTTTTATTTTTTATTTTTTGGTCTAATGGCTAAAAAAATAAAAGGTCAATCTGAGATATTCAACTTTTTTGAAGAAGTAGAAGAAATGAAATGATGCAGAATAGAAATAGGACACAAAGAACACAAAAAAAGAACTACAAAGAAAAAAATTAAAAACAAAATTAAAAACTGCTTACTCTCCGGGCATAGTGGCATATGCCTATAATCCCAGCAACTCGGGAAGCTGGAGCAGGAGGATCACAAGTTCAAAGCCAGCCTCAGCAACTAAGCAAGGCCCTGAGCAACTTAGTTAGACTCTATCTCAAAATAATAAATAAAAAGGGCTAGTGGATGCGGTTTGCCGTTAAGTACCCCTGGGTTCAATCCCCCATACAAAATAACACTGTTTACTCTTCAGTCTTGAAAGAAAAAAAAAAATCAAAAAGGCAAGCTACAACTGATAAAAAGTATTTGCAAAATCTGTAAGAACTTGAATCCTGAACATGTAAGAACCCCTACCACTCAACTGTAAAATACAGACCACCCAATATAGAGGGGTCAAAATATTTGAACAGTTACTTTATCGAAGATTTACACATTTCAAATAAGTAGCCTAACATCACAAGTCAAGTGCAAAATGCAAACTGAAATGACACTGAGACTCCATGATAAAGACATCCACAGACTATACCACTAGAAAAGCTAAAAATAAAGAGTGACTATACCATGTGTTGGTAAAAGTGTGGAGTAAATAGAACTCTCCAGAATGTAAAATGTTAACAAACACTTGGGGAGTTTCTCAAAAGTTAAACATACATGTAGCGTACATGACCTGATCATTCTACTTCTAATTACCCCAGAAAAATGAAAGCACATGTCCACTCAGATTTGTATACAAATATTCACTACAGTTTTATTATTAACAACTCCAAAATGGAAATAACTCAATCAAATGTTCATTAAACAGATGAATGCATTAACACATTTTGGGATTGTCAAAGTAGAATATTAGTAAGCCATTAAAAGAAACAATTATTCAACAGGAAACATGAATAAACCTTAAGATAACTGTGCTGAGAAGTCAAAAATTCCTCCAAAAATGTACATACTGTATTATTCTATTCATTTAAAGTTTTAGGAAATATAAACTTCTCCATAGGCAAGAAAAACAGATGAGTAAAATCATTACAAAGGGGTGGGCACAAAGCCTTCTTGATGAAGTGGTGGTGGGTACAGTGTATACATGACAAAATTCATCAAATTGTATACTCATTATTTCTCAGTAAATCTGTATATAAAATAAAAGTCTACAAATGTTCCCAAAATTTTATTAGTTTAAAGAATAATAAATTTGACATTGCAAAAGGAAAACTTGACAAATACTTGGGAAATCAGAGAAGGAAAAGCATGCTTTTCAGTCTTACCTGCTCACTTGACCAAGTAAGAAATAAAAAAGAGAAAGGATGGGAGAAGGACTCAAACTTCCTTTCCATCACATCCCAAGCATATCTCAAAAATAACCATTTCTTGTGGTTCCCTTCTATGCCAGGCACAGAACAGACATTATAAAGTCATCAAGGCAGTTAACACATGTAAAGGCCTAGGCTAAAGCACAATTCCATTATAAAAACATTTCAATAACAAAGCCTGAGAAGTTCAGATACCCAGGAATGGTAACAGAACTTACTGCCAAAAATGCTATATTAAATTAAAGAGACCCGGGGCTGGGGATGTGGCTCAAGCAGTAGCGCTCTCGCCTGGCATGCATGCGGCCCAGGTTCAATCCTCAGCACCACATACAAAGATGTTGTGTCCGCCGAAAACTAAAAAATAAATATTAAAAAAAAAATTCTCTCTCTCTCTTTAAAAAAAAAAATTAATTAATTAAAGAGACCCCCTTATCTAGTAATTTCTCAGCCAGTTAGGACAAAAAGAACTATACATAGTACTCTCCTTAGGCAGAAACCTAACTAATGATTCTCCCAAAATTTAATATTTTGGGATTCTGCAACTGTACATTTACAATCAGAAAGGGAGGACAAAAATAAGTTTGTCAGAAATAATAAATTCAGTGAACCAAATTGCTCATATTATATATAGGCCAGAGGTCAGCAAATTGCAACCCATGGGCTAAATGTGGCCTAAGATCTTTGTCTGTAGACAGAATTTTATTGAAACACTCAGGTCCACATGCTTGTCTCATGTGTGACTAACCATTTTAGTGAATGACATCAGTACTGAGTAGTTACAACAAAGACCTTACAGATAGCAGAGCATAAAATCTGATGTTTCACAGAAAAAAATTGCTAATTCTTGATACAACTGCAACTATGGACTTATTACAATACTAACTCAGCATACAGGAATAATAATGAGGGATAGGGAAAGAAATGTGGAATGAATCTAACTGAATCATGTTATATATTTACTATTTAAAATATTAAAAATAGTATTTACTAGTTTTTAAAGGATCATTACTTAAAAAGCAGCCCCTCCCACACTCCCACCAGCAGCACTACACAGGACTGCTAAAATTCAAGTTTAGAAATCCACAAAGCTGGGGCTGCGGTTGTGGCTCACCTAGTATGTGCGAGGCGCTGGGTTCTATCCTCAGCATCACAAAAAATAAATAAATACAATAAAGGTATTGTGTCCAACTACCACTTAAAACAACTTAAAAAAGAAAGAAAGAAAGAAAGAAAGAAAGAAAGAAAGAAAGAAAGAAAGAAAGAAAGAAAGAAAGAAAGAAATCCACAAAGCTTAAAACACGAGAGTCTGCCATAATTCCAACAACTGGAAAGTGAGGAATAAATCTCCAGAAGGGAGATAAGAAAACAGGCATCACCAAACCTATATATCAACTGTGCCCAAATCTCTAGTTCAACATATGGATTCTACCACTTCCCCAAGGATAATATGCCATATGTTCAATTAAGGACTAAAAAATTGAGCAGAAATTTCAGCTGGCACCTAACAGGGAAGAAATCAAGTTTGCCAAAAAGCAAAACCAATACCAGTTGGAGAAACAATATAAAATGAGAATATTCTCATGACTTTGAAAAGAGATTTCTTAAAACAGGGCGGAGAAAGCATTAACTACAAAACTGAAAACTGATAAATTACATCTCATCAAAATAACAAACTTCTAGCCACAGACTAGGAGAAAATATTATTAAGGATATAACTGACAAAGAATGAACAAATTCTGATATATTCATAAGATATTACTCTAATAAAAAGAAAAATAGCTATATGCATCCACACATAATACTCTCAAAAGTATTACACAAAAATGCACATTCTTCACTATTTTATTTTTATAAATACAAATAAAAAACAAAATGATATCTCTTGAGAAGGGAAGAACAGGAAAGGATATCAGAGAATGATATCTGTGTTCTATATCATTCATTACCAAGGTTTTTGGATTGCCAAACTGGAAATAATTAATAGAACTCATCCAGGAAATGGAGGTATAACTCACTGATAAAAGCACTTGGCACTACAAGAAAAAAAACAAACAAAAGAAACTTTTCCAAGAGTACAATGAAGATTCTTGAAATGAGCTGTACTCAAATTCAAGAATACTCAAAAATACTCAACTAATATTTACTCTAATTAATGACACAAATGCCAAAGATTTTAATAGTGATGTAAGGTAGCACTTGAAACTTACTTTGGACTGATGAACAGATAATAAAAACAGCCACTAAAAGAAATATATTACAATGTTTATTATACTTGTATAATTTTTCAATTTTACATGTGTTTGGGCTGAAGGGAAAACTGACAGATTTGGCCACTATGCTGTGGATTCCAGCAACCCCTGCCCAGGACCAGGATCCTGCTGTGGCTATACATTACAGAGATTCTATAGCACAGCAGGTAGCCTAACCAAGCTTCCTGCACAAAGCTGCTGCTAGCACTACCATGCTCACCTGCAGTCAGACCTGTGGCACTATGCTGCTATGTCAGATGGTACAAAGTGGGACAACCAGAAGTCATCATCTCACACTAGATGACAGCTGTTCACAGCCTTGGAACCCTTGGAAAGATCATAGACTACGAGGAGATTATCCTTGGGGAAGTGGAAGAATCCATAGTTCTATAGAAGACTGACAAAAATATTCAAATATCCAAAAAGTTCCTGGGGATGCAACCTTTGAATACTTGTACCCAAAGTTAAACTTGCCACGCAGAAGGGCTTCAAGTTTAAGAAACAGAACTAAGAAACTCAATGCCATCAACCTTAAATTCTATGTGCCTAGAGCCTGTTTCTAATTTCTTCTTACCAGTTCATAAAGCATCCAAAACCAGATGACATTCTGTCTTGCCAAGAGAGAGACAAGACTTCTTTATTCTGAAGAAAGAACCAAGCATCAGTTTTTAGGAACCTGATGCTAGAGCAATGGAAAAGACACAGGGGAACTACTATAATTCAGATATACCAGGCACACCTATGCCACCTAAGTTGCCTAACAAGGCATTGAAAGTTATTTGAGGCAATGTTTCAGGATCTTAACA